AACAACAACAACAACAAAAACCCCAAAGAAACATGAATGCTAATGAAGCAGAGAATTTAAATAAGAGACAGTGAGTTCATGGATTAAACAGGTCAAAATGTGGTTTCTCCTAAAACTAACATACAGGTTTAACAGTTACTATAAAAAGCTCATTAAGGTTCTTTAAGGTCATTCTATAACATATATAGAAAGAAAAGAGAAAACAAAGATTATGTAAAATGAAGAGGGAGGAGTCAGCCCACCCAATTTAAGACTTATTATATAGAGCTATGGTAATCAAGACACATAAACAAAAACAGAAGACCCAGAAGTTGGCCGACAGACATGTGACTAATCAATATTTTACAAAGATGAAGCAACAATTCAATGTAGGCAATGTCATGTGGAGTCTGAACCTGTCACATTACATTGGATAGTCCATGCACAGAGTTCTCCAACTAAGAAAGTCAATGCCTTTTTGGCACCAAAATACCATTTTATTTGTCTCTAGGGCCCAAACAGGTCTACCTTATAGGATTTCAAACCACATTTTTACAAATATATACTGGCCTCCTCCCCCAATATATGACAATTTCTTACCTGTCCCCAAGCATACAGATTATTGTGTGTCTGGGATGGGTTCACTTTGGACAAGAGGAATCGAGACTTTAAAAAAAAGAAAAACAGTGTTATTATAGAGGAAACATTAAGGAAAGTTTTTTAAATTAGAAAATGTTCACCATATAGAAACCAATTTCTAAAAAAAGAAACCAATTTCTTTACCTAAAGTCTAATGGCCCTTTATTTATTAGGGGTTCTTAAAAATGGGAACTATCTTTTATTTTGGAAAAATCTTTTATATCAAGATATTTTATCCTCTCATTTAAAATAAAATTGGAATTGTGCCTGATCTGACCCCACCACACCAGGTCCAAATGCTAAGGACATGCAACAGAGCAGCAGCAAGGGGATAAAAACCAATGAAGTCCTGGGGAATACCAAAAATAGACTTTGGGGCCAGGGCATGGAACCCCATCGGACTCAACGGGAAAACACTCCTAAAGGTAAGCAAAAAGACCTGGAACTATTTATAAGTGTTTCTTTTTCTTTGTTGTTGTTTTTGTCTTTTGTTTTCTTTTGTTGTTTTGTTTTGCTCTGTCTTGTTTTTGTGATTATTGTCTCTGCATGCCTATCTAGATAAGATAGGCAGGATAAACTATCTGGAGAAGAAAACAACGGACCCACGGTTGGTGGGGGGAGGGAACACAGGAGAGGGAGGCGGGGTCAAGAAAGCGGGTGTTAACAAACCCAGGGACATGGGAACAACAAGTAATCTAAATAATCGCAAGGATGGCATAGGATCCCTGGTAGGGCTTGATCAAGGGAAACGTAGCCAAGAGTAATTACTTAAACCCAAATGAAAGCCAAACATGATAGTGGGACAAAAGGAAAGCAAAAGGAAATAGAGGTCTTTCCTCTAGCTCTTTAATGTTTCCTGTCCCCCATTATCATGACCCCAATTCTATTTCACAAATCTGGCTAGACCAGAGCATGTACTGGTACAGGTAAAAGCTAGAAACACAGGGAATCCAGGACAGATAAACCCCTCAGGACCAATGAGAATAGCAAAACCAGGAGAGGAAGGGTAAGGTGGGGGGAGAAATGGGGAACCGGTCACAGAAAAGTGGGTGAAGGGAGGCAGTGGTCAGTGTAAGACATGAAAAATAATAATTTACCATATAAAATAACAATACTATAAGTTATCAAGGGTTTGTGAGGGAGGGAGGGTAGAGAAGGGAGGGATAATTAAAACGAGGAGCTGATACCAGGGGCTCAAGTAGTAAGAAAATGTTTTAAAAATGATGATGACAACAAATGATCAAATATGCTTGACACAATGGATGTATGGATTGTGGTAAGAGCTGCTGTACAAGCCCCCCAATAAAATGAAAAAAAGAAAATTGAATAAAATGAAAGTGTATTGGAAGTTTACCTGCATGTTAACTGTCAATGTATTACAAATACATATTAATCACTGTTTGGGTTTACTGCCATAAATATATATCATAAAAACAGAGTCTCAGAGCTAAACTCAGCTCACTCACCTGACTGCCTCCATGTTCTGTGTTAACGTAACGTGGCATTGGAAAGCGTGCTTGCAGAATTTCTTGAGCATCATCCAGTGGTGCCTGCAGAAGGTGCTTGAAATTTTCATACTCAGGCATGTCCTGGTACCCAGCTTTACGCCACTGGGCTATCGTCTACACCAAACAAACCAACATTACTGTGGAAACACTGTAATCATAGTGTTCAGTTGGTATTCATTGAAACACTTAACATTCTAACACTACCACCATCACCACGGGCTGGTTTCCTATGAAGAAGTTTTTCATTAAAAGTTATCAGACTTAGAAGTAGAACAGGGAAGAGCTGACTACTTGAAGAAGAGAAGCAGAGAAAATGCACCAAGGAACTACTACAGACCCTGCTTCCACCAGAAAATACACCTTTGGCTCAAGTCCATAATCACGTGTAAACAAGTAAGATAAATTTAAGTATGTTGTCAGTGATACTCTTAGGGAGCAGAATCTCTACATTATGAAGCCACTATCAGAGAAGCAATCTCTTCCAGATTCTCTGGGCTAGGAATATGATGATACCATCAATGATCCAGTTTCTCCCAAATTGCCAGTGACATTATTCACACTTTCTCTCCCTTTTCTAACTGCATGTAGCAACTACTTAAGCAACACCATGGGTTAGTTGTAACAAGGAGCCATGGACTCTCTTCCTTTCCAATTCCAATGTCAGCATTTGGTCTAGCCTCCCATTTCCTCACACCTGGAAAGGAATTTGCTCTATAACCACACATGATACCGTTCTTCTCTTCCCAAAAACATACACTGTATCTCCCACTGTGCAATGCCATTCAAGACTGGATAAGACAGACTCCAGCATCCCTGCTCCCTCAAGCCCTGAGTTGGGGATACTCTTAGCAATGGAGCAAAATCCTGACAAAAATTATTAAAAAACTGTTGTAGGAATGTTAATTAGGCACTTAATAAAAGGAAGCATACTAAACTGTGACAAGCAAAGATTGAGTCTTCTCTCTCACTTCAGCTGACTGACTATTGGTCTACAATGGAACATGCAGGAGATGACCTCCAGACCAGGACCTTGACAAGACAGTCTTTAAACTTTCCTTTCATGTACCCTTACTTTAGATAAGTTAGTGCCACATGACTGAGCCACCCTTGATACTTCAAGAACAACGATAAGTGCACAAAAAGTATTATTCATTCCAGGAACAAATGTAAAAACAATACCATGTCTCGAAAAACAGGCGATTTCTGTGCGCATCAGAAAAAGGAGGAACCCTGGTGGTGTAGTGGATCCTGGCTGGCCTATTATCTGCAAGGTCAGCAGTTCCAAACCATAGCCACTCCACATTAAGAGTTACATTCTCAGAAACTCAAAGGGGCAGTTTTACCCTGTAAAGTGGCCCTGAAAAGGGGGAGATACCTGATAAGATGGACTGACACAATGGCTCCAACAATTGCTCAAACCTAAGAAAAATTGTGAAGGTGGTGCAGGACTAGGCAGTGTTTTGTTCTGTTGTGCACAGGGTCACTATAGGTCAGAACCAATTCAATGGCATCTAACAACAACAATAACATCTTAGAGTACGTTCCTTGAGGACTGGAAAAAAATTTTTATTGTACTGCTGTTGAGTGAAGTGTTCTTTATATGTCTAAGGGACCAAGTTCATTAATTGTGTTACATAGTTCTGTATCTTGGTTGATTTCCTTACCTGTTGATCTGTATTTAATCAAAAGTGATGTACTAAAATGTACTACAATGATTATTGTCCATTTGTCTCAACACTTCAGTAAGAGTTTCATGTAACCTACCATGTACAATAATAAAGCCTATGACGCTATCAAACAATAAAGAGGCTTGAATAAAATTCAACATCAATTCTTAACAAAAGCACTCAATAAAATACGAAAAGAAGGAAAATCCCTCAACTTAATAAAGGTCACATACACAAAACCAACGACAGGTATTTCACTCAATGAAGAGAATGAAAGCATCCCCCTTTGAACAGTCACCACACACGGTTGCTCTTTATCACCACTCTAATTGAATCTAGTCCTGGAAGTCAGAACCAGCCAGCGTAAGTAGACATCAGAGAGATACGAAAGGCAGAACCAGCCAGCGTAATTAGACATCAGAGAGATACGAAAGGCATTCAAATGGGCAAAGAAGCAAAACGTTCTCTTATTTGCAGTTGATATGCTATTATATACAGAAAATCCCAGACTCAGTAAAAAAAAGTTAGAACAAATTGAAAATTTTGTCCATATAGCAGGATATAACATCAACATTCAAAAATCAATTGGATTCTTGTATCTTAAGGAAGAGGTCCTTAAAAAGGAAATGAAAAGATCAACAGCATTTATAATAACCACCCAAAACATAAAATATAGCTAATCAGAGATGCAACACTTATACAAAGTAAACTATTAAACCTTCCTATAAGAAACTAAGATACTTACAAAAGTGGAAGATTGTCTTATGTTCATGGATAAGGAAGATATAACATAGTGAATAGGTCAGTATTAACTCTACAGCACTCTATAAATTCAAAGTAGTCCTGATAGAAAACTCAACAAAATTCTTCAAAGAAATGGAAAAATTGCCAACTTCATATGGAAAGGAAAGAAATTCAACATAAACAAAACACCATGAGACAAAAACAAAGTAAAGAGCCTCTCACTCCCTGATTTCAAAACATACTTCACAGCCACAGTAATTGAAACAGCTTGGTATTGGTACAACAGATATGTAGACCAATGGATAAGAACAGAGAATCCAGAAATACAACCTAGTACCTGATTGTTGATAAAGGACTGAAAACACAGTAAGTGGGGAAGAAATAGTCTTCCAAAAATGGTCCTAGAAAAATTAAAGCTCCACTTGGAAAAGAATGAAACAAGACCCGTCTCTAACATCATATACAAAAGAGAAACTCAAGACTAATTAAAGACCTAAATATAAACCCTAAAACTTTAACAACCACTGAGAAAAAAGTAGGAATAAACATAGATGCCCTAAATACACAACTAAACATACTAATACTAGCAATAATAAAAACCCACACTGTAGAAGACAAAATAGAGGTCTTGAACTTCCTAAAAATATGTGTACATCAAAAGACATGATCAAAAGAGTAAAAGGGGGCACACAGATTGAAACAGCATGGGTAGTGATATATCGGATAAAGGGCTAGACTAAAAAAAATCTATTGAAAACTGCAATGCTTTAATAAGAAAAATACAAATAATTTAATAAAAAATAAGCAGCAGATATAAACAATTCATTAAAGATGACATCCAGGCGACTAACAATCATATGAAGAAATGCTCTTGACCATTAGCTATAAGAGAAATATAAATGGAAACGATGAGCTGTTACTGAGCACCAACACTGATAGCAAAATTCAAAAATCCAGAAAATAACAAATGCTCGAGATGATACGGAAAGACTGGAACACACACACACACACACACACACACACACACGCACTGCTGGTGGGACTGCAGAAGTGTACAGCCATTATGGAAAACATTATTTCATGAGGAAAAAATGCAGTCCCCACTGACGAGCGCGTTCATCCAACAGGACTCTGCAAGGGCAAGACAGTAGTGTGGAAAACACTTACCGAGCAATGGAAAGCTGCATTTCCCCGACAACTCAGAAAGTATCGACAGTGATTGGCTCGTGTGTGCTTATCTTTAGATTGCTTTATAGTAAACAGTATTAAAATTACCCAATATACACATACCCCATAGACTTGAAAAAACTTTCATTCATTAGAAAATAAGCCAAAGGAACCATTATAATAAGCTGCTGGTTCTCTGAGATAAATTCTTATTTTAAATAGTAAAACCTAAATTAATCACTAAGAAAGTAATCACAGTAATAAGGAAAGTGATTAATAGTGTCTTACCTCACCAAGATAGATGACAATTTGGAAAAAAGTGTCCATCAGCAAAATCCTGTCAGCTAGAATGCTGCTGCTGTCCAAGAGGACTGGCTAAAGAAAAGGGAACAAGATGTGTTAGTCTTCCCTTTGTCCCCCTCCCCGTGATGGCCATTCAAGCTCCCCAGGTAAGTGTTCACAGAAACCAGCCATGGTCTTATAAATGTTTATAAGCTGCCACAACTGGTCACTCTCACCCTCTCCGTGCCACACTTTTAGCTCCCTTCCTGGGTACTATTTTCTGTTTTGTAGGAGAAAGTGGTTCCAAAAAAATTCCTAATCATTCGTGAAATCAGTGATATATTTTGTTCTAGGAACTAGAAAGAATTCCAACAAGTCTCAGTTTTAGGCTAGAAATGTATCCTATCACAGAGATTTCTCTCAAATTTCCTACAACTATAGATAAAAACGGATGTCTACAAGAATAGGTTAGACTATGTTTTTAAGTTTACTACAAAAATTGTAATAAAACGTACACTACAAAAAAATTTCTATGTAGGTACAATAAATGTTGATATATTGGTTTATCGCTATAATTTGTCTATTCTTGCAGGTATTAAAAATATAATTTAGGAAAGTATATTTTTAATTTTTTCATGTAATATTTTTATATAAGGATTTAGCTATTTTCTACCTAAAATTTTTAGGGTTTTTTGTGTGCAGTTTTTCTATATTTAGGAATAGTTTCTTCCAATTCATTTTAAGACATAAAATAGTGGGTCAAATTATATGAACACACTGAAAGTAACTACCATATTTACTCGAGTATAAGCTGACCCGAATATCAGCCGAGGCACCTACTTTTTTTTTTTGAGGCACCTACTTTAAAAAAAAAAAAGCATAAAAATGTGCTGAAAAACTCGGCTTATACACGAGTATATACGGTATGTATTTTAATACATTTTAAACATATAATCTAGCTTTCAATTGATAATACTTTTATATGGCCTTTGAGTTTCCTTATACACACTTTAAAAATTACTACAAAAACTTGAGTTTTTTCAGTGAATTTGCTAGAAAATTGTATGTACTAGACCATAATAATTCTCAAAGAACTATAAAACCTACCTCTGGTGGCCCATGGAATGAATAGGAGTAGAGGATGGGCTGGATCATGATAAGGGATTGGGTTAGATCCTGTCGACCAAAATGGTGCCTATAGTATGATGACTCATCAGGGCTGTTGTTGAACACTTGAAGGAAAGGAGATCTTCTAAGGTGGAACATGAACTGCATTTACAAATGGAAAAAAAAAAAAGACAAATTATAAAAATGCAACCTCCTTAGCTATCCAGAATATAAGCCTGCCTCAGGTATCTCAAACAATAGGGTCCAGACTTTAAGAAAAAAGCCTCTGGGCTTTTCAGAGCCCGCCACTTAAAGCAAATGAACATTCACTTCTGGAGTCTTGATCCATGTCTGCTCTAAGAGAAGTCACAGTCCAGTGGGGAATGGCAGATGCAGGGTGGCAGGACAGGATCCACAGTACAAGAAAGAAGTGCAATGAATTATTTATTTAATATGGCTCTTCTAGCCACTGCCTTTGTCTCACCAAAAGACCTTTGTTTTTCTGATGGGTGTGTGTGGGGGTGAGGTGGGAGACAGTACTGATTAGATTATATGATTCAGCTGTTAGTGATAGTTACCAGCTAATTTTGATTGCCATCCTGCTGGGTATAAAGTGAGGCATCTGAGCAGCGGGAAGGGGGAGTTCACTACCAGTCAGCAAGGTACCAGGGTGCACCATATCCTTTACACACTGAGACACCGGTGCATTTAACTTCCTTGATCCATGAGACAGCTTTGAGACCAGAGAAGTAGCAACAACAGAACCAGGAGCCAGAGCAGTGGACATCTCAGCCCACAGAGCAAGTAAAGCTGAGTGATTTGGGGCCAAGGGCTGGCTTATGGAGCGGGAGGGATGCTGATAGGCATTTAATTGTGGGGCTGGGTTTGCTGACTTATGGAGTTGGAGTTGAGTGCCTTTGGATTATGGATTACAGAGAGTGGCATGTCATTTGAGCATTTATTAGCAGGCTTAAGAGAGCTTTGTAACATTTCCTAAACAAGACGGAAACTAGGCAAACAGAATGAGGGCCAGAGAGAGGCTTGCCTGTGGACACAGTAGAGAAACCACCTGACTGAACAACTGTATCCTGAGCATTTCTCACGTGACCTGTAACCTGGTAACGTCCGCAGTAAACTTCCTAATTGTGAGCAACACCTATGAATTCTGTGTGGCAACTGCAATGAATTATCAGTCACAGAAGCAGAGGGCCGAGGGAAGGATGGTTAATGTCAGAATTAATAGGAAGGTTCAAAGGTGGAGCATATCTGACCTCAGCCTCACAGAAATCAGCCTAGGAAAATGCTTAAGTGGAGTTTGATTTTTCTTTCCCTCATGTAGTTGTGAAGGTCAGATACAACCCCAATGTCATTTTCTTCTTTTTTTTCCCCCCAGATGGAATTGTTGGGTAGGGAAGGTAGAGGGACAGCAAGAGATATATCCCAAAGATACATCTTGGAAGATTATACCTATATGCTCGAGTACAAGCCAACCCAAACATCAGCCGAGGCACCCAATTTTACCACAAAAACTGCATAAAAAATGTGCTGAGGTCATGGGGAGGAGACGAGCCAGTCAGGGAGCAGTATAGCAATGATGAAACATACAATTTTCCTCTAGTTCCTAAATGCTTCCTTCCCCCAACTATCATGATCCCAATTCCGTCTTACAAATCCGGCTAGACCAGAGAATGTACACTGGTACAAATAGGAACTGGAAATACAGGGAATCCAGGACAGATGATCCCTTCACAGGATCAGTGGTGAGAGTGGTGATACCAGGAGGGTGGAAGGAAGGTGGGGTAGAAAGGGGAAACCGATTACAAGGATCTACATATACTCTCCTCCCTGGGGGATGTACAACAGAAAAGTGGGTGAAGGGAGATGTTGGACAGTCTAAGACACGACAAAATAATAATTTATAAATTACCAAGGGTTCATGAGGGAGGGGGGCGCAGAGGGAGGGGGAAAAATGAGGAGCTGATACCAAGGGCTCAAGTAGAAAGCAAATGTTTTGAGAATGATAAGGGCAACAAATGTACAAATGTGCTAGACACAATGGATGGATGGATGGATTGTGATGAGTTGTTATGAACCCCCAATAAAATGATTTTTTTTAAATGTGCTGAAAAACCTGGGCTTACAAAGGTAAGGAATGCAGGTCTTCAAGGATTTTAAGCCTTGACAAGATAAAATTTTCCCCTGGAAAAACTCTTGAGCTGCAGGGTAGAGAATGTATGGACAAGTCCAACTACAAACAAGAAGACTGGTGTCATCATCACTGTTCCTTTCCATGCCAGGATGAGCCTGTCTTATAGCCTTGGTACCTGCCATTTCTTCTGCCTGGAGTGCCCCACAGCCCCTGGTAGTAGCATAGCTGGCAACTTCCTGTCAGTCTCAAGACATACCCTGGCTTCCCTTCTCCTTATGCTGTGGTTGCTCAGTCCAGTTCATTGTATCGAGAGTTTGCTTTTATCACTATTTAAAATTATAATACTTTTTACTTCCAAGATCCATGAGTTCAGTGGCCTAATTTGTAATCATGCCATCCACACTATCTGGAACTGACTGACATAGGGTGCTCAAGAAAGCGTGCTGCCTTCAGAGTGAGAGTGAGGAGGGCCTGAACTAAAGCAGGAATTAAGGACTCAGGAGCTTACAGAAGGGACTGTAATTCTAAAATATGGGTAGTATTCTAGAAATACAGCATTTTTTTATATTGATCAGACTCAGTCACAAATAATGAGCTCAGTTCTATCCAATATATTTGACTCATGGTGACACTATAGGACAGAGTTCTACTCCTTTGGGTTTCCACGGCTGTAAATCTTTAAGGGAGCCAACAGTCTCATCTTTCTTCCTTGGAGTGACTGGTGAGTTCAAACTGTCATCTTTCTGATTAACAGTCAAACATGTAACCCATTAAGCCACCAGGGTTGCTTTGGGTTCAGTTTTACAGTGTTTTCAGTGGAAAACAATCAAGAAATCAATTAATATGAAGAATGAATAGAGCAGCTTAGAAAAGTGATCTGACAAAAAATATATTAGCTATTCTCAGAGATCTGCAGTTATATTTTGGAGAAGAATTTATCTTTTTCTAAGGATCTCTCAAAACCAAACTCACAATCAAGTAAATTCTAACTCATAGTGACCCTATAGGGCAGAGAAGCATTGCCCTTGCGAATTTCCAAAACTATACTTTATCCCCCAAAACAGTACTCTGTATAAGAGTAGAAAATCTCACCTTTATCCTGAGGAGGGGCTGTGATTTTGAACTACTGACCTTGTGGTTAGTAACTAAATTCCTCCTACAATACCATATGGCCTAAATTTTCTCAGTACTTCTAAATGCTAGTGTGGACACTTAAGAATTACAGTATAGTATAACCATAGCTTTTATATGCATTGGGAAACTAAAAAGTCATGTTTGCTTCACTGTGGTGGTCTGGAACCCAATCTGTGGTATCTTTGAGATATGCCTACACTATTAAATTTTGATCACATTAATTGTGGGTCATCTTGTTATAGTCATTTTTGTGTATGCTTAACTTTCTTGGTGTGTTGGTGATATAACTGTTCATAACCTTATGACAATGACTACTGTGCTTTATATAAAACTGTATGCAATTATTTTCTCTTGTCAGCATTTCCTCATCTTTGTCTTCTGTAGGGCGTAAGGTCCTGTCTTACAAAGAGAAACAATTTGTTCTTGAATCCAACAACCTTCATCACCTGTAGACTGTCTTAAAATTGTCTTCACTTTACTCTTAGAATAGTGAGTTTTATTTCTTTTTTTTTTTGAGTTTTATTTCTTTCACAACTTATTCTACAATAGTTACTTTGAAAACATATTGGTTACCTGAGGATAAAGAGAGAAGGCATCTGACAACCTAAAAGAAGTGGGGTCTTCTTTGTTATACTGTCCAAACTTCTGACACTGTGGAAAAACAACAACAAAAGGCCACAAAGTTAGTGTACTACACTGGAAAAATCTTTAAAATAACTACATTAAATTTCAACTTTGTTATTGTGTATTCTAGACCAGCCCCTTCAAACATGATGGGGCAGACAAATCACCTGGGGGAGAGGTCTCATTACAATGCAGATTCTAATTAGATAGATCTGGGGAAGGGCTGGAAATTCTACATTTCCAACATGCTCCAGCAATGCTGATCCAAGGACAAGTCCAAGTAAGGAGAGGCTATCTGAGCACTCTCAGGGTCTCTCTCATGTAACAAGACACTAACAATTATACATAAGCCTTGAAGTTCTCTAATACCACCATTCATTTCTTCCTCAGGCACATTTTCGAACTACAATGTTTCCTTCTCTTTATTTCCAATTATACTTTTCTCCCAGCTACTACAAAATCGGGCTGTGTACTAAATCTTTAGATTTAAGATGCCTAACCTTTTTTTTTAACCTCATTGGCAGCATGAGCTAAGTAACTCAAAAGCTTCTTGAAACTCTCCTTCAAATATTACACTTTCCTGCTTCCTGCTATTACCCATTCTCTACCTTCTTTACTGGTTTCTCTTCTCCTCTCTCCTTCTAAATAGGGACTCCTCGGAAGATAGTTTCTGGTCCTCTGCTCTTATTCTCACAGCTTTGGTTACAAATGAACTTGAAAGCCATACCAGTCATCCAAACATCTCTTCTGTATATCCACTGCTGACTTCTCTGGGTACACTATAGTAAGTTCACATTCAACATATCAAAAATAAACAACAAACACTATTCACTTTCTCCCAGCATAGTTATTGACTCTCCCTTACCATTTTCAACATATCAACATCACCACCAACCTTGCAATTTCTGACTCCGAACTTGCAACAACACTAATTCTGCAGTTTTTGTTTCTACTAGTTTTATGAACGCAAATCTCAGTGTACATCCTGACTGCACACCTCCCCTCCATCCATACACTGGCTTTAATTCCCTTGGATGTACAAAGTGTTACAGCAGTCTCCTTAGCAGTGGCCATTCTCCCTCTAACTTTTGTATATTGTGGTTGTAGGTATTGTGGAGCTGGTTCCAACTCATAGCAACCCTCTACACACCCTAGAAAACACTGCCCAGTCCTGTGCCACTCACATTTTATGTTTGAGCCCATTGTTGCTTTGCAGCCATTGTGTCAATCCTTCTGTTGAAGATCTTCCTTTTTCGCTACCCCACTACTTCACCAACAATGATATCCTCTAGAAATTGGTCTCTGATGACAACATGCCTAAAGTACATGAGACAATGTGTCAGGATCCTTGCCAGTAAGCAGCATTCTGGCTGTTCTTCCGAGACAGATTTGTTTGTTCTTTTGGCAGTCCATGGTACTTTCAATAGTATTTTCCATAATTAAAATGCATCCATTCTTCTTTGATCTCCTTTATTCGATGTCCAACTTTCATGTGCAAATGAGGCAACTGTCAATGCCATGGTGTGGGTCAGGTTCAGTTTAGTCCTCAAAGTAGCATCCTTGCTTTTCAACACTTTTTAAGGTCTTCTGCAGCAGATTTACCTAATGCATTGTTTGATCACTTGACTGCTGCTTCCATGAGCATTGATTGGGGATCCAAGCAAGACAAAATCCCTGACAATTTCAATCTTTTCTTCAATTATCATGTTACCTATTGGTCCAACTGTGAGGCTTTTGATATTCTGTACATTGACTGTAATCTGTACTGAAGGCTGAGAATGCTTCGAGTCTTCCTCACTTTGGGCAAACGTTGGGTTATCTATGTAACACAGGTTGTTAACAATTCTTCCTCCAATATTGATGCCACGTTCTTCTTCATATAATCCAGCTTCTCTGATCAATTGCTCAGCACACCAATTATAAGTATGGAGAGAGAATAGAACTAAGATACACATCTTTCCTTATTTTAAACCATGTGTATTCCTTTGTTCTGTTTATATTACTGCCTCATGATCCATGTGCAGGTTCAGCATGAGCACAATGTAATATTCTGGAATGCCCATTCTTTTCAAGGCTATCCATAGTTTGTTATCATCCACATGGTCAAATGCCTTGGCATAGTCAATAAAACACAAGTAAATATATTTCTGGTATTCTTTGCATTCAGCCAAGATCCACCTGACATCAGCAATGACATGACTTGTTCCACATCCTCTTCTGAATCCGGCGTGAAACTCTGGCAGTTCCCTATCAATGTACTGCTGTAACCATTTTTGGATCATCTTCAACAAAATTTCACTTGCATGTGATATTGACATTATTGTTCTACAACTTGGGCGTTCTGTTGGGTCACTCTTCTTTGGAATGAGTACAAACCTGGACCTCTCCCAACCAGTTGGCCATGTAGCTGTATTACAAATTTCCTAGCATAGACCAATGAGTGCTTCCAGTGCTTCATCAACGTTGAAATATTTCAAGTGATATTCTATCTAGGAGCTTTGTTTTTAGCTAATGCTTTCAGTCCAGCTTGAACTTCTTCCTTTAGTACTGTTGGCTCTTGCTAGTATGCTACCTCTTGAAATAATGGGATGTCAACTAGTTCTTTTTGGTACAGTGACTCTGTGTATTCTTTCCATCCTCTTGTTTCCTACATCGTTTAATACTTTGCCCATAGAATCTTTCAATATTGGACTCGAGGCTTGAATGTTTTCTTGAGTTATTTCAGTTTAAGGAATGCTGAGTGTGTTCTTCCTTTTTGATTTTCTTACTCTAGGTCTTTGCACATTTCACTGTAATATTTTACTACGTCTTCTGGAGCTGCCCTTTGAAATGTTCTGCTCAGTTTATCATTTCTCCATGTGCTTTAGCTACACTACGATTAAGAGCAAGTCTCAGAGTCTCTTCTCATATCCACTTCGATCTTTTCTTCCTCTCCTTTCTTTTTATTTATTTAATCCCCCCTCCCTCCTTTCCTATCTTTCTTGGCCCAAGGAATACTAGCAATCCTTGTATCTGCTATTCCTATGTTCCTTACAGTTCTCCTTCTTACTGGCCAGTTCTCATTAATCAAACCCCTGTTGTAGAAATTCTTTGCATTAGCCTTGCCTGTTAAAATTACTATGATTTTCCCTGAAAGGCTATCCCCATAAAGAAACACTTCTCAGTTTGGTGTGACTCTGTGCAGACTTGCATCTTTCCACAAATGTTCTGTGTTTGTTTCTCCTCAAATATAACAAAAGTCCTTGAATAGAAAATGCCTATCATTTCTTTCATAATAACCTCAGAATGCCTGGTATTTGGGACAAGGAAAGCAACGCAAATTCTTTCTGACTGATTATATAAAATATAGGTTTAAGTCTCAATTTCCTTTTCATAAAAGTAGTACAAAACTTGAAGGGAGAAAAAAAAACAAGTACATATGCCAAAAGTGAACCTAAAGCTATTTCCCCAAATTTACCAGTCGGATGAGCTGTCGGTCCAGCCACCGGAGCACATCAGGCCCCTCCTCTGACTCCGCTCGGAATACACCAAGTCGTGCCATCAACACTGCTGCAGCCTCTTGGTCAAATGCTGCTTCAATGTGCCTAAGCTGGCTCTGTGCATCTGCCCAACTGACAAGTCCAGAGTTAGTTAGTGCCCCCCTTACAATCAAGAGTAGTCATAAAACTAGATGAACATTTACAAAATGAAATACAAATCCTATTCCCTTACCTAGGGCAAAACATATCTAAACCACACAAAAAAGCACAATGCTGCAAGTAGATACCAATTTTTAGCTGCGTACAATTGCACTGTAGATTTTCTGAGACTATAGATCTTCAGAGGAATAAACAGCTTTTGCTTTTCCCTCAAAGAAAATGGCTAGTGAATTTATATAACCAACCTGTGGATAACAATCCAATGCTTAACCCACTGTGTCATTAGGGTTTCCACCAGAAGCCTAAAGTCTCAAAAAGCACAAAATTAAAGAATTTCCCAGGGGAGAAGAAAACATGAATGTAAATGCCCAAAGGTACCTAAATTCTAATCCATTGTTCTTTCCTCTAGATTAGTGTTTCCCAAAGTGGATGATACCATTTGCTAAAGGGCACTGGAACAATCCACGGGGGCTACAAAAGCAGATACCTATGTTTTATCTTGGGATTATGGGCTATAGTAATAGCCCTTGTGCGCCAGCTCATAGGTTCCCAAACTTATTTGGCCTACAGGCCCCTTTAATATATATATCAGAGCCCCCTAGCAATTATAGCAAAATTTCATTGCTGCAGCCCATAATCCATGACAGAAGAGTAGGTATCTGCTTTTGCAGCGCCATTGGATTATTCTAGCGCCCCGCAAAGGGGCAGAATCACACACTTTAGAAAGCACTGCTTTAAGTCAATCTTTCAAAAGTCTAAATATTTACAAATTCACTAAATGCCTTCCTAGCATTACAGCCACAAATAAAAAGAAATAGCATATATACAAAAGTATTACAGTTGAAACAGGTATGTACACAAAAGAATCATATCTAGAATATGTAGAGTCCCCGAAAATCAATACAAAACAAAAGAAGTAACTTTTACAAAATCGGCACAGGTTATCAAAGAAATATATTTGGCCAATAGACATGAAAAAGTGCTTAACTGAGAAATGGGAAAACATAAAGGAAGACATTGCTCTGTTTGCATTTTAAGGGTACTCTCAATGGCACTATAGGAAGAAAATATTAAGTTAGCTTCTCAGGAGAAAAGTTTTGCAGCATCTAAAATTTCACTTCTATGAATTAATTCTAAAGAAATACTCAGATACACGAAGGCCTAAACATACAAATGCAGCAGTGAGAAGAGACAGGAAAAAGAAAGAAATTGAAACATCCTTTTAATGTCCATTAAACCATGGAATATTATGTAGCCATTAAAATATTTCAATACATTGGCATAAAAAGTTTTATATGTATGGGCATAAAATGATTCCTTGGCATACTGAGTATTCAGAAAACAAAGCAAAATACCTATGTTCCTAATAACAAGAAAACACGTGTATATATTTATATGCATATACATGCTTGTGCATGCATGGGCACACTTATCTATGAACGGGTCTTCAGAAAGTTCATGGAAAAATGGAGTAAGAGAATGGAATTTTCTCACAAACTCTTTAAAGTTCCTTTGTATACACACACACCGTATGTAACTGTACAGAAAGTAAATTGTAAAGTTGAGTATCTGTACAGTAGTGTAGCATTTATTTGAGGACAAAGAGTGAGAATACTCAATCTCACATGCTACATGACTGTTACAAGGAAGATATACTCGAGTGATTTAAATAATAAAGTCATTAAGAAGAATTTTTAATCAACTATATTCCTACTGAAAGATGATTCATAAGCCAACATGCCCAAATTAGTTGGCCGCCTCCTCAGGTCAAACAAACTAATGTGGACTGGATTATTAAGACAAACCCCAACCAAACCAAACCCATTGTCACTGAGTCAATTCTGACTCATAGTAACCCTATAGGACTAAGTAGAATTGCCCCTTTGAGATTCTGAGATTTTTAAATCTTTTTTTCCCCCCAATAGTTTTATTGCAACATAATTTACATACCATACAATTCAATAGTTCAATCGATCAATAATATCAAGAGACTTTTAAACCTTTTTAAAAAGATTAAGACAGCCTCATCTTTTTCCTGCAGAGCAGCCAGTGGGTTTGAACTGCTGACTTTTTGATTAGCAGCTCAGTGCATAGCCCACTACATCCCCAGGCTTTAAAGACAAAGTAATAGCTATTAACATCTCTCTTCATAGGAAAAACATGCCAGTAGCTCAAAGAGAACAGGGGACTGCTCACTTTCGGGCGATGGTAGTAACCCGGATGCGTTTCTGGGTGCTGGAATGTTGATATTGGGTAACAAACTGGATGGCACCTCTACCTCCTTGGGGGATTGGGGCATTGTGCTGCAGGAGAAGAGTACACACATAATATTATTATTATTAAATATGCAATGAAATCCTAGCACTCCACAGAAGCTAAGTATGTTCTTACTACAAAACTGACACAAAGGGGATAGAAATGTTGACTGGGCCTTACTTACTCAAGGCGATATATTTATTTATATAAACATCATTTTATTGGGGGCTCTTTCAGCTCTTATAATAATCCATGCATCAATTATATCAAGCATATTTGTACATATGCTGCTATCATTATTTTCTAAACATTTATTTTCTATTTGAGCCCTTGGTATCAGCTCCTCTTTTTTTCCCTCCCACCCACCATCATGACCCTGTAATAAATTATAAATTATTTTTATTTTCATATATTACACCAACCACTGTCTCCCTTCACCCACGTTTCTACTGTTGGTCCCACTGGGGGCTGTGGTTATGCATCGATCATTGTAGTTGGTTCCCCCTTTCTCTTATCCACTCCCCTTCCCCTCCTGGTATTCCTACTCCCATTTCTGTTCCCGAGGGGTTTATCTGACCTGGATTCTGTGTATCGTGAGCTCGTTTGTACCTGTGCACATGCTCCCGTTTAGCCCACAGTGAAAGGCAGTACTGGACTCATGATAGTGGGGGTGTGAGGAAGCCTCAAAGACCAGAGGAATATTGTGTGTTTCATCGGTACTATACTGCAACCCAGTTGACTCATCCTTTCCTTGTGATCCTTCTGTGAGGGGATTTCCAATTGTTTACAGATAGGTTTGGGGTCTCTGCTCCAAACGCCCCCTCATTTTCAACAATTTGTTTTTGGTTCGTTTGTTTGATTTGGGTCTTCTGATGCCTGTTACCCAAACCCATTGACACCTCATGACCGCACAGGCATGGTGTGTTCTTCCATGTGGGAATGCTGCTTCTCTGCTAGATAGCTGCTTGTTTATTGTCAATCCTTTAAGACCCCAGACACTGTATCTTTTGATAGCCGGGCACCATCAGCTTTCTTCACCACTTTTGCTTGTACATCCATTTTTGTCTTCAGCGATCATGCTAGGAGGGTGTGCATCACAGAATACCAGGTTGTTTTTGTGTTGAGGCAGGGCTTGAGCAGAGGCCCAAAGTGTACCCATTACCTCAATGTATTGCCATAAAAATATCTATGTATATATGCCAATACCTCTATTTTTATGAATTAATATATTTACATGCATACACTCCTATGTTTATACCTCTATCCAAAGCTTTGATTCCTAGATATTTCCTGTTTCTTTTACCTTTTTCCTGCCCTACCATCACTCGCTCTTCTTCTGCCTCTTCAGTTCAACAAATTACAAAAAGTTGAAAGAATTAAAAAAGATTATGTTCATGTCAGCCTGGCATCAGATCTAATAAACTCCTAAATCACCATCAGTATGCAGAGAAAGTAACCAGAGGCCAGCAGTTTATAATAAACTAGGAAACATGACATTAGGACACAGATACACTTAAGGAATTCAACTCACCTGATTGGCTACTTCAAAGTAGATGCCGAGAGTAGACGTGGGATCCAGAGCACAGATTTTCCACTGGCTAGTCCCACCAACACCAAGCTCCTGGGATTATCAATTAGGAGGGGAAAAGGAGAGAAAAATGCCTGACCTGATGAAACTGGCTCTGAATAGGACATAATGTTAAACTATTGCACTATAGACGAAAATTTAAATTTCACAAATATTTCCTGGATAAAAGTAAAATTACAAAAAAAAAAAAAGTAAAATTACTGATAAAACAAGCTAAAATTCACTGTCATTAAGTCGATCCTGACGCATAGCTTTTGATATGGGCATTCTTTCTAATTTTAAATTACAAAAATTTATATATACAAAATTTTTTAAGTTCATGGGAAAAAACCATTATCTATTTTTTCCTGCACTCCTTGAAGCTCCCTAAAACATGTATACACTTACATAAACATGCTTTATAATATTCAAGTGAAGTTAAAGAATCAGCTCAGGATTAGAGAGGAATACAAAAAAATGAGAATTACTTACACTTGGCTTGAAAATTTAATTGAGTTAATCATTATTGAGAAAAAAACCAAGTGTTGCCTATAAAATATAATCAAATTTCCTTAAGCAAACGTTTTGTACAAATTCTCATTAAGAGCACTGAGGGACTTTTAGTGGCATGTAGGATGCTTTTTAATGACAAGCTACATGGGTCTCCAGTGATGAATATGAAGTTCACAAAGATAAAAACGAGTACAATACAGTTTTAACCATGACACCTAGAAAAGTCAAAAAACACCACCAAAATTACTAGATTCTAAAGTACATATATGGTCCATCCTTCCAGAAACACTGAGTGTTACACATTTCAAATAAACCTAACAAAGAGTACTGTCCTTGCAAAGTGACAAGATTATGCGCAAAACAGGCTTGACATTGCTTGTACACTGCTTCTTAATCCACCCCAGTTAGTGGATGACAGCTAACACTATCTGTTCCCTATAATGCTAGGAGCCTTTATACCTGGCCATAGACTAGCAATAAGAGGAAAACAATAGATGGGAGAGGGAAGGTTCTTAATTGTCGACAGCCCTAAGAGGGTGACAGTGGAAGAGTGCACTGTTTCATCAGTTTTCCCAAAGCAGTATTATGAGATGGATGGCTTCTAGGGTACTCTTCCATTTCAAATAGCTTTTCTACAAGTAGAAGAGATTTACTCTTCCTTGGAGAGTGAAGGGCTACACTCAAGAACAACCGCAAAGAGGTAAAGGGGGCTTTGTTTGCCGTCTCCTTTCTTCTCTAGGCACTAAGGGATAGCATAGTTACAAACCTTCCAGAGTTCTAAAATGACATACTTTGACCAACACAGAAATTCAGTACTTAAGCATTTACCCTATCTTATCAGAATAATTGTAAAGACAAAATTAGGAAATCAACATTTTTAGAAAAAACATAATGAAGGATTTAAAGAAAAAGTATAATGATGCCTGTAAGTTATTTTCAAAGGTCGTTTATAAAAGATGTTAAAGCAGATAAGGAAAATAAATGATGTCATAGGTAGTGCAAATGTGGCACAAAAAGAACAATTTTGCCAAAATGCAAAAAAATGCTGACTTTAGCTAGTGAGTACACAGAAATTCACTATGCACTTAATACTTCTATGTTTGAAAATTCCAATGTTTTCCTCTTTGCCTCCTCTACCCATCTAACCTAAACTTTCCTGGCTGGTCCCTATGGAATCCTAGAACTGTCATTAAAAGTATCTTCTTTATTTATTAAATACTTTTATTTGGGGCTCTTTCATCTCTTATCACGATCCATACATTCATCCATTGTGTCAAGCACATTTGCACATATGCTGCCAAGATCATTTTCAAAGCTTCTCTTCCCACTTGAGCCCCTGATAGCAGCTCCCCTATTCTTCCCCCTCCCTCACGAACCCTTGATAAGTTATAGATTATTATTTTCATCTTACATCATCCTCCATCGCCCCTCACCCACTTTTTCATTGATCGTCCCCCTGGGAAGGGGTTCTAGGTTGATCCTTGTAATCGATTCCCCCTTTTCCCCCCATCCTCCCCTAATCTTCCTGGTATCTCTACTCTCATTGTTGGCCCTGAGGGTTTTATCTATCCTGGATTTCCTGTGTTGTGGGGGCAGTGTGCATGTTCTGGGTCTAATCCGATTTATAAGGTAGAATTGAGGTCATGATTGTGGGGGGAAGGAAGCACCAAAGAACTAGAGGAAAGTTGTGTTTCATCGGTGGTATACTGCACCGACTGGCTCATCTCTTCCCTAGGATCCCTCTGTGAAGGGATGTCCAATTGTCTACAGATAGGCATTGGGTCTTCACTCCATCTCCCCCTCCTCCCCACCATTCACACTGGGGATGATTTTGTTCTGGTTTTTAGATGCCTGATACCTGATCCCATCAACAGCTCATGATCACACAGGCTGGTGTGCTTCTTCCATGTGAGCTTTGCTGCTTCTCAGCTAGATGATCACTTGTTTATCTTCAAGCCTTTTAAGACCCAGACCCTGTATCTTTTGATTGCCGGCTATCAAAATTATCTTCTTAAATGACCCCCAAAGCTCTTCACCAGCAGATTTTAAATACTGTGCACAGCATTTTGGATTAGGTCAGCTTTACAAAACACAGGGGTGTAAGCACCTTAGAACTCTAGGGTAATGAATGACTCAGATAAGCTGGGGGCATAAACTTGACTTAGCTAAGAGACTATAAGAATGTTATCTCAAAATCACCTTGTCTCTGCAAACCCTACAAACGTTTGATCAAAGTAATCAAAAGGTGAATATTTGTGGTAATTTAAATATGGCATGTACTATGGGATTCCATTGTTCTGGGTACTATTCTCAGTATTACCTGTATTACCCTATTCACCCTTCCTAACAACACTATCCCCATTTGCCAATAAACCACGAGGGGTGATGCACATGAGATTAACATTCTCGACGGCTAACTGAAAGCAAAGAGGTTCCAGGGCATCCAGAAGCATCGGGCAATCTACTTCGGAAACGTCAGCCACTGAAAACTCTATGGAGTACAGTTCTACTCCAACATACGTGAGGCTGCCATGATTCAAAATTGATGGGAAAGCAACTGGGTTTTTTTGTTTTGTTTTATGGAAGGGAGCAACAGATAATGAAAATGGATCACAGAACAATTCAGTACTGTCAGGGTCAAAAAGTGAATGGTTATCCAACTTAAATCCAAGTTTTCGGCTCTATAGTCCATACTTTTCACCTCCATTCAGACATTAACTCTCATTGATGGTGAAATGAAGGATGGATATGACATAATAACTCCAGCTCAGAATCACCCTGGAGAGAGGCCTGACTCTTGTGCTTCTTTCCAGCTAAAGTATAAGGGGATAGTAAAGTCAGCTCTGACCCTGAGCCAGATAGCCTGTTACCTTCTCACTGAGCTTCAGTTTCCTTCTCACTAACCATGTAGATCTGTGGTTCTCAACCTTCCTAATGCTGTGACACTTTAATACAGTTCCTCGTGTTGTGGTGAACCCCCCCCAACCATAAAATTATTTTTGTTGCTATTTAAGTGTAATTTTGCAACTGTTATGAATTAGGCGACCCCTGTGAAAGGGTCATCTGACCCCCAAAGGGGCCGTGAGCCACAGGTTGAGAACCACTGATGTAGACAGATGAACACAGTCAGAAATGACAACGCATGTCAGTCGGTTAGAATTACGCATTGCCTCCTCACAGAGACATCTGCAAACAAGTAACACAGGTAAGATCATCACATGCCTATATTTCTAACAGACTAAGTGCCAGAGCACAGTTAATGATAGTGAAATAAGAATTCATCTTACATTTTCTGATACACAAGGTCCTTTCACATTTAGAGAGACACACGGACCAATGGCTCCAGCAATCTTCAGCTCCCGAGAGGTCTAAAACAGAATTACAAGAATATAAGGTTAAATATGACAGCTATTCACCTGCTCTCATGATAGCCACAACTAATGCTTAAAAGAAAAATACAACAAACTATTCTAGGGCCACTGTGAACCAGTTAAATTTCAAATAAAATCCTTTACAAAACGACATAATTTGTTTTTTTTGCTGAAAGTATAAACACTCAAAGATAAACACTTTCAACAATTCTCCAAGTACAAGTGACGTACTCGGTGATGGTGGTTATACTCTTTAAGGGGCACTCTCACTCTCACTCTCCTTTACCACATTACTTCATCACCATTGTCTTAAACTCACCAGTTCCCAAGCCTCCCATCCAACCTTTCTTGTGACTGTTGTCAATTTAACCCCATATAAGTAATCCTTTAAAAGAACCTAACAACTAAGGAAATACATCCTTTATTCATTAAAATAAGCTATATTTTGGTTCAAAGAAGACTTCAGGGAATAGTTTGGGTACAAGGTTTAAAGTTAAGATTATCTCAGAGCAGGAATTTCAGGAGCTCAACCAGCCTCAATGGCTCGAGAGAGCCTGTAGTTCATGAATGTAAAATTCTATTCTGCATTTTATTCCCCTTTCATTGGAATTCTCCTATACCATCTTTGAAGAAAACGCTCAGCAATGGTAGCCGGTGCCTATCTAATTCTTCTGGTCCGTGGCAGAGGAGACATTTGTTCATGAAGGCAACCGGATATTCAATTCCTTCCTCCAGTTCCCGAGTCTTCTTTCCTTGTTGCTCAAGGAGTATCTGAGACTAACAATTGTTAACTTTGCTTAGACCAACAGTCGCTAACTTTCAAGACCTAGTTAGGCTTTTGACATTTTCCTCTAGATTCTTTTGCCCAACATGTCGAAGGTGGCAGAACTCTAATATATAAAAACATTATTCTTCCATTAACGTTTGAAAAATCTATCGTACCTTTACTTCCAAAGTAGCACCAAATGCCATTCGGAAATTTCCATTAAAATCTTTACTGAAAATTCTTTGGAATGTCTGCTTGAAGAGAGAAGTGTTGAATGAATCTCCCATCACCATATGACCACTAGAAGAGAAAAGAAGTAGAAGTTTCAGATGGCTGGAAAAGCCATGCTGGAAGGCAGGGTCAAATGGGGCATGTTTTGTTTTTCTTTAACTTTGCACTAAGCAGTATTTTAGCCTGCATTTATTGCATTTGGGAAAAATAAGATAAATTTTGAGAAAGAAAAGAGGTCACTTGGGTGTTCTCTCAATATTTACAAACAATAATTTAAAGAAGATCAAAAGAAACCATGTTATCTATGTGCTTCGACTTCAAACAATAAATTAACACCAAACTCACTACCATCGAGTGGACTTCAACTCATAGGAACCCTATACAGAGTTCTGAAGCTATATGGGGACATACGGCTTCATCTTTCTCCCATGGAGCAGCTGCTGGGTTTGAACCACCAATCCTTTATTTATCAATCTAACATTTACTGGATAGCACTACTAATGCTCCTTAAAATGGTAAATGACATGAACAATTAGTAGTTAGGAAAGAAAACAGGATTTCAATCTGCTCCATAAAAGTTTACTGTAGGTTTCCTCCCCGCTCCCACTACCATGACTCGAATTCTATCTTGAAAGACTGGCTAGACCAGAGGAGGTACACTGGTACAGATAGGAACTGAAAATACAGGGAATCCAGGACGGATGAGCCCTATAGGACCAGTGGTGTGAGTGGCAAAACAGGGAGGGTAAAGGGAGAATGGGTAGGAAAGAGGGAACCGATTACATGGAACTGTGTGTGACCTCCTCCCTGGGGGACAGACAACTGAAAAGTGGATGAAGGGAGACATCGGACAGGGCAAGATATGACAAAATACCCATTTATAAACTATCAAGTGCTCATGCGGGAGGGGGGAGCGGGGAGGGAGGGGAAAAATGAGAACCTAACGTCGGGGGTTTAAATGGAGAGAAAATGTTTTGAGAAACGATGTACAAATGCGCTTTACACAATTGATGTGTGTATGGATTGGGATAACAGTTCTATGAGCCCCTAATAAAATGTTAAAAAAGGAAAGAAAAAAAAAAGTTTACTGTATTGGAAACCCCATGGGGCAGTTCTATTCTGTCCAAAGGGCAACTAGTTGATGGAGGTCACTGTATTGGGGACACTGCACTACAAGGAGTCACATAGCCCTTTCAGTCTTACCCTGACTGCTTTGGTAGGAAGGCCCTGGACCAATCTTGTAAGCTCTTCTATCTAATAATGCACATATCCCAAACACGGTTCCATTCCTGCTTCTGTCCCAAATGAAACTATGATGCACTGATCTGCCACCAATCATGACTTTCTAACCATTCCCTTTGTTCCAGGCTGTATTTATCTACCTTCCCAATTGTGAATCCTCGAACCTCATTGTGACCTCATGCTAATGCCCTCCCTCATTCAGGTGATACCTCTCTCTCTGTTGTCTTCATTTCTTTTACAATTTAATAAAGGTTCTCCTTAAATTTTTTAAACAGAAGAGTTTCATTTTATTTGAACCCACAATCAATGCCCAAGGGAGCAGGAGTCAAGAAATCAACAGCATATTGCACTGGGCAAATCTGCTATAATAGATTTCTTTAAAATCTAAAAAGTAAGGATGTCACTTGGAGAGCTATGTTATACTTGGCTCAAGCTGTCTTTTCCATCACCTCACATGCATGGGAAAGCTGGATGGTAAAAAAAGACCAAATAATTTATGTTTATCAATTATGGTATTGGCATACAATACTGAAAATACTATGGTCTATAAGAAGAATACATCTGTCTTACAAGTACAATCAGAATTCTCTTTTTAAATGAGGATATCACAACTCCACCTCTACTACTTTGAATGTAAAACAGGATGGACCATCGTCCCTAGAGGGACATCATAGTTGATAGAGGGTCAGTAAAGGAGAACAAAACAATACAAAAAGGCCCCTGAATGAGATGAATGACATAGTGGCTGCAACAATGGGTTCAAACCTAGTGACATTACAAATCAGAAGTAACTCAATGGCAGCTAATAAATGCAGATCTCCAGCAACTAGCTTGAATATAGGCAGAACATTAAAAATATGGGACAGTATGGAAGGAACCAATCTTGAGATATCCAACTCTGTAAATGAAAAATAAACTTGTATCTTTTTCAGGTCACTAATATTTTGGATTTCCTGGAACATTTAAACAAATCTAATTCTAACTCGTATGTCCTGCATGACATATTTGTTATCATAAATTCAATTATGTCCCCCCCAAAATATGGCAACTTGGCTGGGATATGATTTTCACCGGTTTGACAGCTATGGAATGGTGTAGCCATCCCCCATAATGTGGTCTGATGTGATCAGCCAATTAGTTACAAGGGAATTACTGTAGAAGCAACACCCTTACTCAGCTCATAGTCCTACTACTGCAGTGTGACTTGGATCACCTTTTATATGAGAAGCAAGCAGAGGTGAGACCTGACTTCCACCAGGAAAGAAGAGCCCAGAGGGGAGCAGAGCCTGTGACCCAGACCCCAATCCTGAAAGCTCCTACACCCAGAAGAAGAATGCCAAGGCATTTGTCATATTTTTGTGATAGCAATTCTAGATAATCAAGACACTTGCCAAGTTACCATTCAGATTAAGCATTAACTCCTCTCTTAGGGAGTTTACTCTTTGGAGAAGCAGTCACTCCATGCTTGGAGAGCTGTGAAGAAGGGTCTTTATACCAAGTGTCTAAGTGGCACAGTGGCTAAAGCATTCACCCGCCAAAGAGGTTAGTGGCTCAAACTTGCCAGCTATTCTGCAGGAGACAAATGAAGCTGTTTGCTCCCATAAAGATTCACAATTTTGAAAATCCTATGAAACAGTTCTGTTCTATCCAATAGGGTCACAAATTAACTTGCCAATAGTGAGACTGGGTGTAGTTTATTAGTGAAATCCTGTGTTCCAGAAATTTCCACTACTGGTTCTAGTTCTACCCTTTTGTCACAGACAAATCTACCCTTCTCCAAAGAATAGTCTTTCATGTTTTGAGTATAGCCATCATGGACTATGCATCTTTAGCTGTATCTAGTCTCTAGTTTCAAGTACTCTTCACCATTCTCACTATTTTCCCCTTTGAACATCTCTAACTTACCTACATTCCCTTTTTAAACAGAAATACCCAGAATAAAAGACAGTATAGTCTTGATATGGTATGATTAGCGCCAAGAAGACTAAACTAACAAGCAGCCATCTAAGTGAGACGTCAACGAAGTCCACATGGAAGAAGCATACCATTATCAGTCACCGAAGGATTGTAAATCATATAATCTGAAATCAAAGGAGGGATTAGTATCAGAGCTTACATTGTGAAAATCCGGTTTGCAGAAGGCTATGAGTAACAGTGGGAGCTCAAGATTCATCTGTGGGAACTACATGGGAAATAAGA